AGGTAGTTTTACCGTGCAAGCAAGAATTTACTTGGAAACACCGGCAAGCTCAGTACCATCCGAGAGGTTGTTTTTATCAGCTGGAAATGTATTCATAAAGAAAAGAAATAGATTTGATATTCTTTTTTTGAACGATTCTTATTTAGATTTTTGATAGAATAATAAAAATAATTGATTTTTTGGCTGGTTTAGTTGATGTCACGATATAAAACTTTTCCATTTAAATATGAATGTATTAATAACCTATTGATCTATGAAATTTTTTGGTCATCGTCCTTGTAGTTTTGTAAAATATTCTTTAAAAGTTGTTCGATCGATTATTTTTCACTTTATTGAATTTATCATTAAAAAAAACTTTTTAATGAAAATGTCACCGTGTGATTATCTCAGTTGATAATAACGATAATGGTGACGATAATGAGCTGTTTGGAAAAAGTTGTGATTCCCTCCCTATTACTATAAAAAATATTTTTACGGAATAAATGCTAATATACAGAATACGGAAAATGGAGTTTTTAATATTAATATTAACGAAAAGCTCTGTCCAAAAATAAATTACATTTTCCTTTTTTCCTTCATTTCCATTTTAAACAATCACATGATGATAACGATGAGGCTGTCCGTCGCTGATCCAAATAATTTATAAATAGAATAGGATTTAAATTTTAAATTATGATGCATAACAAAATGGTGTCAATTAAGGGAGAAGTGTAAGAAAAAGAAAGAAAGTGAATAACAATAAGCGAACGGATGAACAAACGAACGAACCAACGATAGAAAGAAGTCAATGAATGAACATAATGGTAATTAAAATAATAAATAATAATTAATTAATATTTAATGCTGCTATTGAGTTATTATATGTTATATAATACTAGCATATATTTAAAAATAACCAATGTTGTTGCATAGATGAATCATGTTATGAGGAAGCATACATACAGCTAATTTAAATTAATAAAAAAATTTAATTCAGAATTTCCTAAAAAAAATTTTTTTCAAAATGACCAATTCTCACTTGATCATTATTTAAATTTATTTCATTCATTTTACTCCATTGACTGAATCACTCTGTTATTATTACATTAATTATCCATCCCCATTCATTAGCCACATTCATTCTAAATCTTGACAATCAATCAAAATCAAAAAAAAAAATTTTCATATTAATATTTCTTCTCTAGTATTTTTTTCACCCCCGCAAAATAATATTGTGTATAAATAAAATATTATATAGTAAATGCAAATGGATAGGATAGACACATGTACACGCACAATGTTTATTTACAAATAAAACAATAATAAAAAGAACAAGAACCTGATGCATGAAGACGATGCCTGTAGATTATTTATTATTAAAGAAATAAAAAAAACGGTTTTATTTGTCCTTTTCTTTCTTGGCTTCTTTATTAATCTATCACAATAACTATCCAAAACAAGATATCAAACGCCATTATCCATGATTTTTACGTTGTCAAATATGCAAAAATATGCGAACAAAAAACAAAATAATAATAAAACCAAAAGCTTTGACTTCCTGGCCCGTAAAGTCGTCATATTGGAGTTTTAGAACATGTGTGTAACTTGATTGTTTTGTTTTTTTGTCCTCTTCATTGTTGGCTTGGACTGATTGGCTTGACTAATTTTTTGTTTATTGCTTATTGCTAAGTTTATTAATTAATTATTTAATTGGACTTTCTTTATAATTGATTTTCATTGTTAGACCTCCGATTATTACAAAAAAATTGAACAGATAAAAAAAATGATTTGAATAAATGCTAATTAGTAAATTGGTAAATGGATGTGTTAAATTAGGAAACTTGTGGAAATTCAATCAACATTTTTATTTTACATTTGTTTACGCGTCTTTTGATTGTGCTTCAAGAGTCAAGTGGTAATAAGGGGTGAAAAACAATAATTATTCAAAAGTTCTTTTCATTTTTCAACAGACAGCAAAAAAACAAAATATAACGGAAAAAATAAAAACAAGTTTAAAACTTGTAAAAAAAGGAAAAAAAAAATATTTCCATTTTCCATTATTTGATTTTTTTTTTTTTTTCATGTTTTGGATCAAGTTTCTCGTTTATTATTCAAGAGCAGTACACGATTATCAAATTGCGTAAAAAAAAAATCATCTGGCATGTAACAATTTGCTATCTTCTCTTATCCAACACTTCCTCCTCTTACCCCTGTCCTCTTCCCCTTTATCACCATCATCTAGGTCTTTATCACATCAAATCACATTTTTTGTTTCTTGAACCTTCTGGTCTTAAAACTTCTAATGTTCTATGTGATACTTCTAAATTGGTACAATTAACCACAACTCTCTCTCTCTCTCACGCGCTTTTTTTTTCTTAAAATAAAAAGTAACAACAATAATCAAATGATCATATACTAGTAGTCATTATCACTATCATTACATCAATTCACCTGATCCATGTTTCGTCATCATCCTACACAAAAAGAAAACCTTAAATCGTCTATTATTATTATTATTACTATTATTACTATTACCATTATTATTATTTCAAACATTAGATCTGTCATAACAATAAAAATTACTATATATGCTTATTGGTATATATCGTATGGTATGTTTGAGATACATCTTAAAAATTTCCCAATATAAATTCATTATTATTTTCTCACCAAAAAAGATTTATATCACACTAGAGAGTAAATAAACAAAAAGTAAACCAATAAATGTTACACGTATAAAATATAGAAAAGGTGCTGACCGATCATCTGACATTTCTACATCACGAGTGTGGCAATATTTGATTTTTAATCAACGAAAATCCATAGATGCTTTTTATATACTTATTTGTATCTGTTGTAAATATAAATATTTTGTATTATTTTTATTTTATGACTCAGTTCTGACCCGTTGTTCTGTTTTACCTTCTAAAATAGTTACAATTTCAACTCGGCGAATCAGCAGTACAAAAACCAACTTTTCATTATTATAGATGCGCCCATTATAATATTAGATAGAGATGGTGAGTGGTTTTGTTTATTAAATTAGTTAATTCTTAATTATTCCTCGTATTGACTCGTCTTTTATTCCTAAAGCAAAAAAAAAACTAAAGACAAGAACGGAATTTAAATACAAACAAAATTCCGTTTAAAATATATATTAATTAAATATCTTTAACAAGTCCATTATAAATTTATTTATTACATTTATGTATATATTTATTATAATTTATATTTGCCAATTTTCCAATTTTTTTTATTTTCCTAACCTAAAAAATTGTTATCTAACAATGTATGTATATATATATGTATATATATACTTGATAAGAAAACTTATTCCCAAGGTGTTTTTTTCGAATACGTAAAAAAAAAGTAATACAGATACGTAATGTATAGTAAAATAGTAATATTGATAGGTTGATTGCTGACTTTTGAGATTTCAATTGATTTTTATTTTTGTTTTTAATTTTTCTTTTTTTTAAAATTAAAATTAAATTAAAATTAAAATTTTAATTGGACATATTAATTAATTTAATTGGACATATTAATTAAATTAATTAATAAATATTATTAATATTAAAATTAAATGTTTACCGAAATTAATTGCCATAAATTAATAATTTTTTGACATCCAAAATAAACAACAGCAAAAGTAAATAATTGTAACCAACCACTCACTTATTCATTAATTTCATTCATTATCCCAAATTCCGCATTTTTATTTACAACAAATGTCATACGTACATTTTAAAAAGCGTACACGTTTCATACCTTCTTTATTCCATTCTTCTTTGCTAATTTTACAAAATTCAAAATCTTTCTTTCTTATAATTCCGCCCGGATCAAATCGGTCTTTTTTTCCATACTGTCAAACAAATAAAAATTTATTATTTCTTATTATTATAAAACTCTATGAACACTTTTTCCTATATAATTTCTAATTATTTTGAAAAAATATCCTTTTTTGGATGTTTTTAATAAATATTGTAGTCATTTGATCAAACGATTAATAGTCAAATTGCATACGATATTTATATTTGTTATTTATATTTATTTTCATGATATGTATTAGCAAAGTTCCGGTGATTATACATCATCATACATATATTACATCCGCTTGTTTCTATAGACAGTTGTCACGTGGGAACTTAAAAGTCCCGTGTAACATAACGTACATATACATAAAAACTGCCCGTGTAACTTCAGAGATATCAATAAAAAAACAGCTTTTTTTCAACAAACATTTTTTCCCTTTGCACAATAAATAATAAAATTAGATATAAATAAATTCTTTTATTCAAAAAAATATTTTTTTGCAAATTTTTTTTTTCAAATCAAAAAATTTATCAACTAATTAAATTAATAAATAAATAATAATTAATGAAAAAGTAAAATTTACTGCGTGCATGAAATTTTTAAATTTTAAAGCTTTAAAACGACCAGCTCAATCAATAGAAATAGATATATTAATATATTCAAACAAAGATATATATTCAGATTAACAAATTAATAAAAATTAGCACAGTTAGCGCGGAACATATTTAGTCATTCATCACTACCATTTTTAATTGGAGCATAAAGAAGAGATGAAAGAAAGATTTATTCCTCTCACTAATTAATTCCTCATTTACCCCTAATGGTGGTAATAATTTTTCAGCCTTTACAAAAAAGTTACTATTCTCCAATTCCCATTTACATATTCGTTTCTTAAATGAAGTTTGTACAACACAAATAGTATATATATAAATTTGAGAATTTTCAGAACTTTATTTATTATTACACTAACTAATAATAATTAATACCTAATACTTGATATTTTTTGAATTTTTGCAAGAAAAAAAATTAAAAGGTTTGTAAAAAAAATGTTTATCTCGACAATTAACATTTTCCTGTTCCAATTGTTCTCAACCTCATTATTAATTGTTAATTATTAATAATAATTAATAATTAATTCTCACTATCACTCTCGTTATCCACATCCTTTCATGCATTCCATAGTTTTTGCTTTTGTTTTTTTTTTTTGAATGCGTTAAAATCAATCAATAAATTGGGAATAGCGCAATTATTTACGCAACAAACAATCTAGCAACAACAAATATTTATAGTAAGTAATTAAACCATTGTTCACATTTTATTCATAATAAAAAATTGTCACGTGATGCTTACTTAATAAATATGTAGAGAAATAATAATGGGATTCAAGTCATCATCAAACAATTGTAAACACATTGTTGATGGCATTAAAGATGAAAGGGATAGATTGTTAAGGGAAAAAGAAAAAGAAAAGGATAATGATTTTAAACATATTATTGATATTATTTATGAATCAAAATCATTATCATTATCATCATCATCGTCATCATCATCATCATCATCATCGTCATCGTCATCGTCATCGTCATCATCGTCATTATCGTTATCATCGTCATCATCTCCATTATCATCACCAACATCGCCAACATCACCAACATCACCATTAAACGACGAAGAAAAGTCAAGTGGTAATCCGCAAATCGACAAATTCATAAAGGATACACAAGATCGTAATGAAAAAGACAAGACAAAATTGCAAATTGATTGGATCCCTTTTAAAGAATTTAAGAATATCAAGGAATTAAAAAAAGGCGGTGAAGGTGTAATTTATACTGCAGAGTGGATAAAAGGTCCAGGTCCTACAAAAACAGTTGCTTTAAAATGTCTTTATAACTCTCAAAATAATATATCTAAATTACTTGATGAGGTAAATTGCTTTAAAAAAATATATATAATTATCTTTGACTTTCCTTCCTAATGCTAATATATATATATATACACACATTCGCACAGATTGAGCTTCAAGTAAAGCTTTATTACACAAATACACCACTATGTTACGGAATCAGTAAAGATGCTGCAAATAATTATCTGATAGTGATGCAATACGCAACTGATGGCAATCTACATGATTATCTTCAAGATAACTTTGGTGAATTAAATTGGGAAAAAAAATTACGCATTATTTATGACGTGTCGGAAGCTTTAAGAGAAATTCATAAAGCCAATTTTGTACATGGCGATTTTCATGATGGAAATATTTTAAAGTATCTTGATCGTTTTTATATTTCGGACTTGGGACTTTGTAAACGCAATGATATCAAAAATGATAATGGCAATGATATTCGTAGTAAATGTATACTTGGAGTATTGCCATATATGGCACCTGAAGTATTGAATCAATCGCCCTACACTAAAGCAGCCGATATTTATGGATTTGGAATGATAATGTGGCAAGTTTGTACTGGTAAACGACCATTCCATGATCAAAAGAATGAGGCTACCATAGATATTATAACCGAAATAATGAAGGGCGGGAGGCCATATATACCAACATCGTCATCATCAAAAGAAAAGTATAATATACCAAAAGTAATTGCTGATTGTATAAAAAAATGTTGGGATGAAGATAAGGACAAACGACCTGATATCGTAACACTTAATAATTTCTTTAAAGATTTATTGATTATTAATAAAGATTATAAAAAATGGAAACCGTATCGGGAGAAAAATGATGGAGATGACGATGATGTCGAGAGTTGTTGTAATAGCTGTCGTGAAATTAATATCACTGATTATGTCACTACTCAATGGGATTTAACAATTCCTGAAAGAGTGCCTTAGAAGAGCTAGTTTTTTATTTAAATCTAAGACTTTGTGAATAAAATTTTAACTTTGTAAAATTACATGTTAATAATAAATTTAGGAATATTTTTAATAATTAATTTAAAAATAACCTCGTCTATTTTTCATTGTAAATTCAATGCAATTGCTTATTCCACTCACTCAACTCACAAATCATCGCTCTCTTGCCAATCCTTGTTCGTTGTCTTACTCTTTAAGTTTCTCATTGACTGTCAATAGTTGTTGTAGATTTTGGCAGGCGTGCGTTAGTTGAAAATAGCAAGTAAGTATACACTTGTACTAGCGTTTATATTTATCTATTAATAGTTATTATCACTCACTACATAATAATATATTTAATATATTACAAAATGCCAGTAGTCGTTGTTGTTGTATCACTAAATACAGCAGAGTTCTAAAATACTTGGGAGACGATCATGATCATTTAAAAAATATCATGCGGATTGTTTGTGCTAACCCAAATTTCGAAATTATTATTATTATTATAGATGGATTTTTGTCAAAAAATTACCAAGTTTGGTTAGTATAATCAATTCCGCGCACTGAAATTTGTACTCGCGTGAGGAATTTGTGTAGCTTAAACATTCTTTCTTATCTTTTAAAAAAATTTTTTTCCTTTAAATTAATTTAAAAATAAATAGATATGGCACCTGTTGATATAGCCGGCCCAATAGTAAAAGATGGTACCTTACAGAAGAAACCAATTAATTTTGTGAATCTTGCTGTTGGTGCTGGTAATTATTTGGAATTTCTGTAATTTGCTCACATACCTTTTCTTATTATAGCCAAAAAATAAAATGAATGATGGTTGGTTTACCAGAGGTTTTTGGGAACCATATAGCCACAATACTACTTATAATGGTAGAATTTATCATAACTGGCATTATATTCAATTGAAAAATAAATAAAATAAAATAAAAATAAAAATTTTATAATAATATTATTATTAATTTATAATTTATGAAAATTTAGGTTTGAATATGTTCGAAGTGTCTACCCTTGGGCAACCATTTGAAGTTACTAAAACACATTTGGCTGCTAACCGTAATGATGGTATTTTTACTGCATTGAAGAAAACTTATAAAAGAGGTGGGATTTTAGGGTTTTATCAAGGGTTAATACCTTGGGCATGGATTGAAGCCAGCACGAAGGTAATTGATTGATTGATGATCAATTGATTGGTTGGTTGTTCAAATGATTCATTCATTGATTTCATTATTTTTATCAACTTCATAATTTCATTAATTTATTAATTTATTTATTATTTAATTATCAAAGGGTGCAGCACTTATATTTACTGCAAGTGAAGTTGAATACAATACACGAGTAGCTGGTGCACCTCCATTTTTGGTATTTTAAATATATATATACTTCCTGATCAACAAACAATATTTTAAATATCATAGTGATGTAAATTTTGTTTAATTTTTAATAAAGGCTGGTATTTTGGGTGGTATGGCTGGAGGTTTAGCACAAGCATATACCACAATGGGGTTTTGTACATTTATGAAAACTGTTGAGGTCACTCGACACAAAGCACCTGCTGATCAACCAGTCTCTACATTAAAAGTCGCATCTGATATTTGGAAAAAGGAGGGAATTCGTGGTATAAATAAAGGTGTTAATGCTGTAGCTCTAAGACAATGCACAAATTGGGCTAGTAGATTTGGATTAACAAGATTAAGTGAAACTGCCATTAGGAAATTACGAGATGGTGAGGTTGTTGATTATTCTAAACCATTGTCACCCATTCAAAAAATTTTAGCAAGTGCCCTTGGTGGTGGTTTGTCCTGTTGGAATCAAGTAATTATATATTATTTTAAAAAATCTCAAACTTTAAAAAAAACAAATTTTTCTTTCTCACATTTCCTCCTCTCTTCTTCTTATCAAAGCCAATTGAAGTTATTCGTGTGGAAATGCAATCTCAAGTACAAACACCAGGACGTCCCAAAAATATGACAATTGTAACATGTGCTAAATACATTTATCAAAATAATGGATTGAAAGGGTTTTATCGTGGTGTAACTCCTAGAATTGGACTTGGAATTTGGCAAACAATCTGTATGGTATTTGGTGGTGATTATGTCAAGGTAATTTTTAAAATACTTTATCACCATTATCACCATTATCATCATAATTGATAATAATTTTTTCTTTTTATTCATTTATTATTTAGGCTATGATTGCCAATAGACAATTAACTCAAAAACTTTAGAATATAATTTATATATATATATTTTTTCTTGCTAATTAATTTGAATAAAATTGTTTTATTAATAATTTATTTGTTTTGCTAATTGAAATCTGTAATAAAATAAAATTCGAGTATAACATTGATGATGAATGACGTTGAACAGCAAGCATACAAATCCAGGATGCGTTAGTTTAGGATGTGTTAAAATTGTTATTTTCATTTTTAACTGGCTATTAAACAATTTCTTTCCCTTCCCTTTAATGATATTAATCATAATAAACAATAAATAATATTTAATATTTAATAATGTCTAATAATAAAGAGCAAGAAATTCAAGAAAAGTTTGTTGAAGAATATAATTGCGGCTATACAGCCATTGAAAAATTAGAGGTAAAAAAAAAAAACTAATTAAGAATAAATATTACTGATATCAAAAAACTCAAGGATCGTGGTTTCCACACGCTTGAGTCAGTTGCATACACACCTAGAAAAGCATTAAAGGAATTTCTGAAGCAAAAGTTGAAAAAATACTGAGGGTATTATTATTATATTTATAATTCAAAATTTCATGTAATTCATACAGTATATGCATTTTTATATTTATAAAATACGACTGGATGGATAGTTGGTAAAATAATAATTTAGGATCTCAATCAGCAACAGAAATCCAAAAAAAAAAGACACAAACTTGTTTATATCACAACAGGATCTGGTCAACTTAATAATATTTTAGGAAGTAATGAAAGATTTCTAATGGTCTATAATCACCGAATTCAAAATATATACAATTAAAATTGTAATTCGTAATTCTTTGATTTTAAACTAGGTGGAATTGAAACAGGCTCAACAACTAAAATTATTTGGTGAATTTCGTACCAGAAAAAGTCAATTATGCCACACGCTTGTTATGTTGGTAAATGATTTATCTAATTGATATTTAATTGATGTTATGTGGTATTTTTAACTTTCTGCAAGTATGGGTGTGCTGAAGGAAAATTAGACAATGCGGCAATAGCAAGAGCTTATAGCATCGATAACATCAATTCTTAATAAATGATTGATTGATTGATTTTTCCTGACAATAGATTTGCTGTACTAATTGTTGATAGTGTAACAGCATTGTATAGAACTGATTATGCTGGAAGAGGTGAATTGGCTGCATGTCAAATGCATTTAGCAAAATTCTTACTATCTCTTCAATGTTTGGCTGATGAAGTGTATATGTGTGTGCTTTGTGATTATTATATAATTAACTAGTTAGTTAATTAATTATCCATTATTTATATAGTTATTGTTGTGACAAATCAAGTTGTTGCTACTGTTGATGGTAATATGACTATGTTTGATGGCCAGACTAAGGAACCAGTAGGAGGAAATATCACTTCAACTACAAGGTAATTATCAATAAGCACATATATATTGTGACTTTTGTTGAACTTCTTTTTTTGTAGACTTTATTTTGTAAAGCTTCTAAAGAAGCTCGTGTATGTAATACACATGATTAGCTATGTATACTGGAAGCTGAAGCAACATTTGCTATTGGTAAAGGTGAAATTGAGGATGTTAAAGATTAAGATAAAGATTCTCTTTTTTAAAAAATCTTATGGATTTAATTTGTCTTCAAACTTTAGGAACTTCCTAAATTTTATTTAAAAAAATTGAATCTGACGTATTCCAAGTTCGTATATTAATAATAATAAGGATATGGTCTCAGCCAGCATAGTGGAAGTTTGTTGTTACACACAATATTATACAGAACCCAATGCTCCTGAAACTTCACCAGATATTATAGCGTTACCTCTCTAAATTGGAGATTAAGTTCAGATCCAATTCAAATCCAGTTTATCACTTTTTATTGCCAGAATGTTTGCTGTGTAAAGTTACGTTGCACAATATAAAAAATTAGTGTAACATTTTCAAATTTCCACTATGCTGTCTCAGCCCTGTAGTAGTATATATAGTGCAAGACACCTAGTCCCACAACTTTTCATTGTCCTTGTAGATCCTTCTCTAACTCCAAAAATGGAAATGTAACACCAAAAAAATAAGCCGTAATTTTGAAGCTAAGACCTTTCTCTACA